AAGACATAAATACAAAGCTGAAAAGGTACCACGTTCGGAATGCAAAATCAAAATATTTTCAATTTACATACGTGTGTATTTCAGGATATTGTATATTTATTAGTACTTAGAAAAATAAGGAGAATTACATTAGATTTATTTTTATTTTTTAGAAAATTCTTGGCCTCGAACGAACCCATTAGTGACAGTGATAACAAAAATTTAATGATATTTCTGAAGGTAAAATGAGTCTTAATTAACCAGTAGTTAAACGTATTAGACGGCTCATGACGTAAATCACACAGAAAACAAACTGCAAAAAGGTTCTCGAAAAGGACAAACTATTAATGCTGTTCTAGCTGTTGAAATATCTCGTACATGTTTAATAAATGACATATAATCGAGATAAATTACACAATTTTTTTTTCAAATGTTCCATTTTGAAGTTAGTTGCTGCTAAGGATAGAGAAAACAAGCTAGAAATGGCAGACTTCATTGACGAACTGGAAAGGGTTGGTTATGTATATAAATATATTTCCAAATTTCTGGATTTCATAATCCGTCTTCAGGTGTACAGAGATGGAACTTATTATATATATATTATATTAGTATATGTTAACAAATAAATCAATCATACAAGAAATCAAAAAAGCAGATCTTACTTGACAATTGTTATATTGGTATATTCTGGTTTAGTTTAAAGGTCAACAGACAGACGTTTTTGAGGATTTATTCGGAGACAGAAGTCCAACACAAGTATGGGCATACTTAACACAGAGAGAATGCGGAAAGGTATCTATGATTTGTAATAAAGAAATTCTGGAGGTAGTGTAAAAGCAGGTCGCTTTCCTACTTGTGTTGGACGTGATTTCTGAAACATTAAAGAAAAAAAGCTGAGCGACTGACCAGTACTTTATTTAAGTAGAATCACCTACAGTCAAAAGATTCAAATTTAGCAAGCCTAGGAGAAACAAATCTTGAAAACATGCAATATATTTAGAGACTGTCCGACAGACAGATAAACAGAGGGACATTAAACTCATATGTACATGTGGTTCCTTTTTTCTACCTGGGGGAAGCAAAAAAAGATTTATTCTGAAAAAAATTCAGCTTGTCTTCCTTTTTCTTCTAACCACTACTTTGGGGACTATTTCTCTGCTTTAACCACTATACTACAATATACACATTGCGTAATTACTTGATTTGTTTGATTTGTACCTGATTTGTCATGCTTTTCATGCTTCTCTTCACCTGCGCCCAACTCCCCATGATCAAATTTCTTATTTCCCAAATGTACTATATGATAAGTACAATTTACTAAATGATTTATTTTAGATAGAATTTTCGGACATAAATCGATTCATCACAAGGAACACCGGCTACAGTGTAGATCAGTGGTACAGTGGATTTTCTTACAAACTTTCGGAAACACCAACAGAGTTCTTAGGCTCCATACTCAAAACAATGATGCTGAATTCAAGCAGAATCTATATGAAGGTACAAAAAAGCATCACAGATTGTCAACATATCATTTTATCATTTATTTATTCTTTAAGGTCTTTCCACCCTCACAATTTAAAAAGTACAAAAACTGGGGGTTTTTTCGTTTATTATAATTTAAATTTACCAATTATTGCAAAAAAATTTATAGGTCGCCATATTATTTAAGACGGGAGACATAAATAAACAAAAGTGTATGTCAACATGAAAAAAATTATAAATTTTTTGAAAATAGTATTGTAAAATGTTATGCAAAAATTGGTTGAAATGCACAATTCTGATACTAAAAGTTCCAAATACTTGCTACTTGCTAAGATAATTCTGAAATGTGAATATCAGGGTCGCTTTTTGACATTTAATGTACAATAAAGTAAATGTCTGAATAAAGTTATCTGAGAAGGAGTTATTGCCCTTGTCACAATTTTTCAAAGATTAAATAATTGATTAAATAACAAAAAATATATTTTTTAAGTTCTATTACTTAACAACATTTATCATTTCACCTATTAAAAAGTATTCTTTCAAAAAACTTTGTTCTATTGGGTATGAATTTAAATTAATAACAGTTTTTGGCAAAAACCTATATGACATAGGAGGATGGAAATACCTTAATGCACTTTATTCTTTTGTTATTTGAAATTGTTATTTTGAATTACTAGTATTTTATTAAAATTTCAAGTATGTGTGAATGTAATGATATCTTTCAATGGTTACTCTGTTCAGAATTCATACCGAAATTTTGACATATTTTGTTATAGAAGTCCTGATTATATAATTTTGGGGGATATTATTTATTCCAGCATTTCTAGATCTCTTCTAACCTTGTTCTGAATTTTGTGATACAGATAACAGATATTCCCAGGACAGTCGGGGTAAACACAAAATACATCTCAGGTCTTGACTTTGACATGGAAGACGATGACAGAAAACTATTGGTTCAGGTATGCTACCCTTTTGAAAAGTTGAATTAGATTTGGATAAATTTTATTGTCTATCTCTTTTTTAAAATACAGTTTTTTGTTTCTTCCTTCATTTTAGTGTGGAAGAGATGCAACTGTAGAATTCTTGAAGGCCCGAGGCTATAAATTTCAAAATGCACACGAAACGGAAAAGTGATTACCACTCAAACTTTCGATTACATGTACATTGTACAGACAGTTTTGTAAGGCAGTGTACTTCTGTTTGTATTATTTATTATACATTGTAATTATAACGATGCCTAAAATGATAATCACTTTTAAACATGTCTATAAACGGAATATCCATATTAAGAGGGCATCCTATATTTACTTTGATATCTTCAAAACTGGATCTCTCTTTCAAGATTTATCAAATGTTGAAAATTATAAACTTCCAAGATATATCAGATTCAATCGTTTGTTTGTTTGTTTGTATATATTTTTTGGTTTATCTTTTTTAACATGAAACATATGGAGATAACGAAGAGTATTCAACATCAAAAATTAATAACATAATTCAAAATAGGAGCAGAGCAACACGGACCTCCAAAACATTAGAGATGGGATCACTATGTGCTCCTTGTCATGATCGGGAAATAACGCGAGAATCCGTCTTCAATTCAGTGAATATATATTGGACTAACAATTAGTGCGCAAAACGTCAGTCAGCATTCGACTTATTAATGATAAACTGTATTTGCTGACAAGGTCATAGTATCGACCATAGAACTTACAAAATGATGACTTAAAAGAGACTGCTGATATTCTTGTTTCATCAACTTGTAGTCAATAACTTACCTCGTCTAAGAAATTGATCATACGTATAGCATGATCTTGCGTATCGAATCAACTGAGATATATAAACTCCGCATGCAGGTAATGATGGCATATTGCTGCATAAGTATAAAGGGAAGTTGACGATTGGAAAGTTAAAGTCATCACGTTTATTGTGTAGCTTGTTTGTTAGATTACCATGAACTTTTATTTTCAAGTAAAATATCTAAATATGAAACAGATGTCAGACTCTTTGGTACATGTATCTTTTATCTTAAGTTCACCAGTATATATCGTTTCGACATACGAATGGAAATTACCATTGTTAATTGACAATACGTCGTCGGTATATCTGAATGTCGAGTTGAAGGCCACATCAAGTGTTTTCTTCTTTTCACGCTTAAGGGGGATGTACGGCCACCTTTAGTGCAGTGAGAGCAAAATGTAAACATTTCTTCAAATGGCTAAAATACATTATATTTTGATCAAATTTTAAGTCTTTTTGATAAAGATACAATAAATATGCATAACCGAATGCATGTTGTGCATATATAATCTAAACTTTTGCAGAAAAATGCTTTTGATATGCTCCTTAGAACTGCGCGGCTACAGAATTCAGCAAAGCCTTAAAAAATCCAAAAAAATACGCAAACTGTGCATTAATGTTCTCTCTACAACCATTTGTTGAGAAAATGTCTAAATTTTGCACTTTTAAATGATAATTTCAAGTTCAAAACAAGGTATCGTTGTCTTCAAAAAGAGTGTAAAGAACCAAGAAAGTAGTTCATTGATAGCAGCACGTGGTCTATTTTTAGCACAGAATTTTGTTTTCCAGACCTCTTCTTAATATGGAGGGATATAACAATCTTTAAATGTAGAAGAGAATTACAGTTGCAAAATACTTCAAATAATATGAACGCTTTTAAAAGAGGAAATGTGTTATAGTGTTTCTTGAAGTAATTTATTTAGTATTATTATCGAACAGTTGTTAAATAGTGTACTTATTGATATAAAAAAAATCTTAAACTCTTTGACTCCAGGTAAGGAAAAATGAGCACCATCAAAGTTAAGAATTAAGAGTTTGTAAGTTTGCCACAGATAACTTATAATATCTATCAAAAGTTTAATTATCACCATTGAAACACAAAGACATTAAACACATAAAATCGATATGAATGACCTTGTTTTAGTACCTACTAGTACGAGGGGTGATCAAAAAGTTCGCGAACTATCTCTATACATGTGTATCTACAAAACCACAAATTAGATTAGAAACAAATTTGGTGCACACAAGTTCTATAAATAGCATATGCTGAATAAAGTTTTTCTCACAATGAGAAAATGATGTCATTATGCAGGTACTTGTGACGAAAAATGGTTGTCTCAGTAGAACTCGTTCAACAAACGACTGTACAATTTATGGTAAATCTTACAAAGAAATGCCTTTGAAGTATCGTATAAAAATTTGTTCACAGTTTATTAAGACAAATGACTTCCTATAAATTCAATCAATGATTGGATAGATCGTTTTAGTGAAGGAAGGCAGATGGTTAAATATGATACTTGTTATGTTGCCAGGTGAAAGCAAGTTTGAAAAAGGATGTGTTTTTAATTAAGCAATATGCTATCAAAGACCTCCAATTTACATTTTGAAAAATACTTGAATATTTCAACAAAAATATAAGTATCAAATACCTAAGATGTCGTTTACTTTTTGATCAACCCTCGCATACTCTGTCAAATAAACATTTACAATTTTCATTACAGCGGAGCAACATTTGAAAAGGAATGAAATCATTCAGAGTGGGTTAGAAGATTTAATGAATAAATTTTTTTTTCTATTTGCCCATTTTGTCAAAATAACAATTTTACAGAGTAAAGAAAAAAAATCAACAAAATTAAATATTTTATACCATCTTTAAAATGACGTTTGGTGGTCCTCCCAACTCAGGGAAAAATTATTGGGTCGGTATTTATGGGTAAGAAAAAAATTCCTTAAAATTTAAACATATTTGTTGACGAAAGAAAAAAAACCCCGTGTAATGGGATGTAAAAAAAAATTGAGTCGGGCCATTTCTAGGCAGTAGATCGGGAGAGAGGGCAACCAAATATTTTTTTATAACAAAAGGCTAGTACATGTTCCATCACATACTTAGTAATGCAAACATTTTGAATCTTTGCCACTTTTTGGAAAAACAAACAGAGGATTTTCGGGGGGGGGGGGGTTAGCCTCTCACTTTTTTTTGGCGATGATAGACATAGCATATGCAATGGACCTTTCTTTCCAAACATTGTGCTTGCTTCTTAATTTCAAAGAAACAACTCAAAATATTTTATCAAGCTTCGTATGTTCAATGACCGAGAGCTTACAACGTTGTCAACATAATGAGACATGATGCGTTTTTATGTCCGAACATTACTCCATACAATGTGTGGGTCATTGCAAACAATCTAGCTATTTATGTGAGGTGCCTGAAGGAAATCTTATAACTGCCTATTTTTTCTATCTAACTGCTAAACAAAATAGACATATGTACCAACTTTTCGAATGTAAGACATGTAATTATGTTCCCCAAACGAAGTTGGGGAACATATTGTTTTTACTCTGTTTCTTATTATTATTATTTTTCTTCTTCTTCTTCTTCTTCTTCCTGGGTACTTTTTTGTCCGGGAGTGATCTTGTAAACTACACATCCGACTTAGGTAAAACCTTTTTAGGGTCAGTAGACATGTTATGTAGATTTGCGGAACAAAGGTCATTTTGCGCGCACGTGCTTGCAAGAGCGTGCACGTGCAACACGTGAAATGACCGATTTAATTGATATAGGCATAACTTTTTACCTTTTTGATGAAATGCTTTGAAACTCATAATATAAGGATATATTAGTAGCACAGACAATATGACATGGTCAAAATAGCAAGATCTAACGCGCATGCACGTGCGCTTCGCTCTGATTGGCTGAAACTAAAGTCTCAATATCTTTCTTGTTTTTTGACGAAATCCTTTGAAATTTTGAACATAGCCATGGAATAGGATATCCTACAACAAGATATATAGCAATTATCATGAAAACACATGCATGCACGTGCGCTACAATCTGATTGGCTTAAACTTTAAATAGCTATAACTCCTTTGGTTTTCAACCAAACAGGATGGGATTTGGAACATAGATAGATATAATGGACTTCTACAAGAAGGTATGGTCACTATGCATATGCATACACGTGCGTGTACGTGCGCTGCAATCTGATTGGCTGAAACTTTAAACAGCTAAAACTCCCTTGGTTTTCAACCAAACGGGATGGGATTTAGAACATAGATAGATGTAATGGACCTCTACAAGAGGGTATGGTCACCATGCTCATATATGCATGTGCGTGCACGTGAAATGAGTAAAATCAAAGATACACTTGAATGAGCGTATTTTTTAATACTTTTGGATTAAATACTTTAATATTGTGTAGACAAGATGATATGGTCATAACGCACATGCATTCACATGCGCACGCGTGCATTGCTCAAATTTGAATGAACTTGATACACTTTTGGGTAAACATTTTAAACTCTCAAATGCATAGAGTTTGTCTTATTTAATGAAGCTTACAGGGAATATGGCACCAAATGGGTGTTGGGGAGCGTTTGGGGAACATCTGTAACGGTCCCCGTTACAATTAGCACTAGTTTAAGCCTCTGTCTTTGCTGAATTTTATCTTATATTTTTTGCATTTTTATATCAGCATATCATGGAAGTATTTCTTCACAACTGATATTGCTATGAATTATCAACCAAAGGAAGATAATTCTAATATTAACAAACTCCATAAATCAAATAAAACTGTTATAAATGATGAAAAAAATTCTTTTTGTAAACTGTGTACGTTATTGATTAATAACAATGTTATGCCTATAATCACAGTTGCAAAAGTCAGCGGGAAAAAACAAACGTCGTTATTGTGGCGTCACGTTACGCTGCTTTAACGTAGAACGACATGGGTCCACCCTTAAGGTCAAGATCTAGTAAATAACTTGAGACTAATTTTTTGGTGCTAGATCCATTATGACGTCATAATCAATTTCAACTTTCTTTTTCCCGTACTTTACGGCTTTAGCAGAATTATGTAGAAAATATGGTATTTTCATGTCATTCAGTTTGAAATCATATGAAAAGTAAACCGGATACCTATATTAAATTTGATATTGATTTAAAGAAGAGGCCATGAACATACTAATTACTGTTTTCTGTGAGAATGTAGGCAATCTGAATACATTTCCTTTGCCGAATACGAAAAAAACTCCAATATTCATGACTGGTTTTCTTAATTTTTCATTGAAAATGACAGTTTAAAGTACAGTTTTTCATCTTGTTATGTTCCCCAAACGAAGTTGGGGAACATATTGTTTTTACTCTGTTTCTTATTATGTTCCCCAAACTGAGTTTGGGAACATATTGTTTTTACTCTGTTTCTTATTATGTTCCCCAAACGAAGTTGGGGAACATATTGTTTTTACTCTGTTTCTTATTATTATTATTATTATTATTATTATTTTTCTTCTTCCTGGGAAAATTTTGTCCACGAGTGATCTTGTAAACTGCACATCCGACTAAGGTA